AATCTAACTGTGTGCAGAGAGAAGACTTTAATGGTAAAAAATAAAAATAGCAAAATCAGTCGATGGGGCGCTGCGTTGATGTCAGAAAAAACACCGATTCGAGTACGTAAATTTTCATTTTGGTATTAATTCAATTATAATCACATAGATCCATTTAAGTGTCTACACTAAAAAATTTTAAAAACATTAACATTTAACATTTTTTTTTTTTAACTTTTAGATACGTGTTTTTCTAGACTGTATAATGTTTTAACTAAAAATCATGCATGATAGATTAAAAGAAAATTTTAAAAATTTAGAAGAGACACTAAATAAATCACCTGTATTTTTTCTCGGAAAAACTCCATTAAAAATAACAACAATAACAATTATTATTATCAGCAATTTAATAAATATTGTTATTGTGTGCCCCATAGAAATACAACACGGAATCCCGTGGGGAATATTCACAAACACGACGCATGCGCACTGCGTCTGCGGTGTATCGGTCGAGCAGCATGGAAATCTTGCGATCTCTAGCCGACACGGCCGAGCACAAGAACGGTGTGCACTTTGTCCGATGTATGCGAGCGACGCTTACCGATGAGCCACTTGGCTTCCAACCGGAAGTAGTCAGGCAGCAGCTCAAGGCGTTATCAGTCGTCGAGACAGTGTCTGCCCGACAGGACGGTTACTCGTGCCGGATATCATTCCACGAGTTCATACAGAGGTAATATTGTATGATGATTAATGCCTGATAGTCATCATGGTGTACCTAGGATTTACTTAGGTATTAACGAAACTAACAAGATGCTCTTTAAGCTTTAGTTTAAACCACAAATTAATGGTTCAAACTATTGTTACGTTTTCTTAAAATGTTCAGTGAAATATGATATTATGGCTATAAAATATTTTAATAACAAGATTTTATTTTTTTTACCGATCATTAATATTATAAAATGAAGTGCCATGATAAAAATTAAAACGTCTATAGAATGAATAATTCCAACTTTATAGTCCACTGGATAATTCAAACAAGATATTTAGGAACTTTACAGGACGCTCAAACTGAATACAGCTGAGCATGCCGGCTTCTATTGTAATATTATTGATAGCTGGGTACTCAATTGAGAAGCATTGTAACGAGACGTATGATCTCTCTGTAGTAGTGCTTTGTACATTTATCATATAATATTATGATAATAATTATGTCATTATTCCTAGTTATATGAGTAAAGTGCATGAAAAACAATTCGAGACTCATTATATAATTCACTGACTACAATTTATTTGAGCGTTGATTATTTTTGAGAAGATCTGTAGGAAATTTTTTAGAGTTCCAAAACATGTATGTATATAATATATAAAAACACATCTATTAACACGTAAGGCGCACAATAATAAGTCACTTAAAAAGTTAATAGATAACAGAGATACGGCCATGGCTCTATAAATTGATTAAAATAAACTTGAAATAATCTAACATTATTTTAACTATGAACTATCGCCTGACCATATTTACCTGAGTATATTTATCTATTTATCGTATACTGTAATATTGTGCATTTACCTATATATTTTCTTTATTAAATATATACTTAACATATCTTCTTCTTATTTTATGTATTTGTTATCAGTGACATTGATACCCCGATTTAAGACTATTATCATATAATATAGATACATTTCTCGATCTGCAAAAATTATACTCCCCATCTTCTATTTTAATGACAATGTTTTGTTAGTGATTCTCAATTTATAAAACTCAATAAAATGTTTTTTATGAAATAGTGTCACACATTATACGATTATTTATTTATGTTATATTCAGTATACATAACACGCATTTAGGCATAGGTATACATGTATAATACACAATACAGTACTTATTGCTTTCTACTACACGTGTACGGTGTACAATAGTTATAATTTCATAAAAAAKGTAGCTATTATTTTCAATGTAACATTCATTTTTATATTTTTGTCTACTGATATACGATTTTCCATACTACGTCTTTAAGCCAAGACAGGGCTATCTATTTAAACATTTTAAACAGAATATTTTATATATAGGCACATAATATTATAGAGTCGTAATAATGGGATGATTATCATACAGGTACAAGTTTTTGGCATTTGATTTTTACGAAAACGTTGAAGTCACCAAGGAAAACTGTCGACTATTGTTGATTCGTTTGAAAATGGAAGGATGGCTAATTGGAAAGAGCAAAGTTTTTCTGCGGTACTACAACGAGGAATATTTGTCCAGGTATGTACAGCATATAGAATTCTATACAGTTGAAGTAGTATGTCAATCATCGATGTGGTTATTGATTACACCTATTTTGATTACCTATAAATATCGTGGTTTRTTTGATTATTATACTTTTGGTAGTCATCGATATTCTACTTACCCGTTCAACKTTGAACCGCATTTGATAAATTCACGATTTCATTACAAGTAGGCCATTATTGTTTTTAATTTTCTGCAAACTTTTAGGCTCTACGAGACCCAAGTGAAAAAAGTTATAAAAGTACAGTCAATGCTCCGAGCATTCATTACGAAAAGGAAAATTGCACCGCAGTTGATTAAACAACAATCTGGTAATGACGATGCGTTAATACAGTCTTAATATTTCTAAACTAGTTTGTTGGAGTAACATACAATTTTATTACTTTTTTTTTGTATTTGTTATATTACTATTAAATACTATTATAATCCATAGTTATTAAATTATTGTAGCATAATCTGGTAATGTAGTGTTGTTTAGTTGGAAAATAATAAAATAAAAATATATTCTCGAATAATTAACTTATTTATTTATTTGTTTTTAAATAGAGTAGTTATTTTAAGTGTTGGGAAGGTTCTTAATATAAAATAATTTTATGTTTTTCATGTTCAACTACCGTATCATAACAATTTAACAGATACATAACGTATAGCACAAATATTATTTAGGTAAATTKCCATACCAATAAATTCACATACTGTTAAATTATTAGACACCATATAGGTAAATGGATACATTTTTCATCAAGCTAGTTTAATTTCTTCTCTTTAAAGTACATACAGGTTATGTATTAAATTAAAAAAAACGTGTTTGGAACCTGTAAACGTGTTTTAAATTTAAAGTTAAGTGGTATAAAAACATAAAAACAAGAGCTGCAAAAAAAAAAAAAACAGAATTTAACCCTCGCCAATGATTTCAAAGCATATCTCGCTACTCCCATGTAGGTATAATACATAATATTGTACAGAGAAAAATAATGAATGCTTTTACGCAATCTACAGTATCTAAAGAGGGTCATACACAATAGGTCATTAAAAATATACCTTAATATTGTTATACTGTATTWAATTTAACAACTTATCTTATTTTTCAAAATAAAAACATTTGCTCAATTTGCTATACTCGGTGACTACCCCAATTTGGATTGATCATAAACAGTTAGTTGAAGTTCAAAGTATAGGAATATATTATCGACCATGATGAGGAAAATACAGAATCATTGAATTTGATCAAGTGATAAAATACCTAAACTTTTGAATACCACAATTCATCTATCATACCAAGGGCATAAATTGGTGAGAAGGTTAAAGGTTCCAATCTCACTTGAAAATAAAAGTGTGTAGAATTATTATTATTATTATATTACACTATTGGGAATCATAACTCGAGATTTCTATAGACCCCTCACAATGAAATCTTATACTACGCTCAGAGTTCCAAATGGTTAGAAATATAAAATCATCTATTAACTGTCTATATGTACATCAAATGCAGAGATTGAGCTGTTACGTTTAAATAGTACTTAAGAGATTAGATAGACTTCATARAATTATTAAAACACAACACAACAGTATCGAAAAGTTCAATGGAATAACGCTCTGGTTATTGGTATAATAAACGCAAACCGGACACCGGTGACTGAACAAAAAGTATTTTGAGAAAAAAACGTAACAATAAATATTCTATATTAACCTTCGGTTTCATGTTAAGTATCTATAGATTAGTACTACAATTTAGTAATTAATAACTATCATACATTCAAAATATTATTTTCATAATCTTTTTATGTATTATGTACAAGGTACACAACAAAATTAAAAATTAGTTAATTCGTATGTTACAATAATTATAGTATAGATACACTTCAATACATAATGAAAACAATTTTTTTTTTAATCTACAGTATGACAATATCCACTTGGTAATCAATTCATTCGTATTCAAACTATTATTGTAATTATTTGAACGGATAAAAAAAAAAAAAATTACTCCACACGCGTAGTTATGTAGGCATATAGGAATGCATTCATACAAAAGATATCTGGGTCCAGTTTGTCTATAATAGTATAATATTATATTAGCTTAGCTCAAATATCTGTTACAATACAGATTAAATAAATGTAATCTATTATCATACCGATGTATACTAAACCTTTGGGGGAGGGGGAAAATAAAAATTGGTCTTGTTACGACCATATGGAAATAATAATAACATACGTAAATCAATCGCCACAAATCGCAATCGTTTACAATATATGTAGRTAATATTGTTCACACTGACGACTTGTGTGTTGCACGCGATATTATAATCATAATAAAAAAATAAAAAACCTCCGCACATTTAACACGGCATACCTATGTGTCTATGTGTATGCATATTATATACAAATATAATATAATGTATTGTACTACAAGGCCGCTACTTGTGCACGACCAAAGGGGTAGGTACACGTCATGATGACGTTGATGACGATGACAAGCGCTCGCGTTCGGAGGATTTGGTGCGGGACCCTCGTGTTCGGATGATTCCTGTCGTCGTCGGTGGCAGTGGTGGCTGGTGGTCGGGGCTGTTCAGGGTGGGGAGTGTGTGTAGGGGGTAGTTCCCTGCTACTCCGGACGAGTGGGCAGAGATTATTTCGCGCGCCCGCGGGGCACAGGGGGTGGCTTTTTAATTGCGCTTACCCTTTGAAGTCGGGCAAACGGATCAAAGGTCTGGTTGGTACCGCCGAGGGGGCCACGAATGCACAAAGAGGCTTTACCCACCCCCGCGGCGCCTACACAGCCATGGCCCAAAGCCCCGCGTCGTTGCTCACACACACACACATGCGGAGCGCGCTCGCAAATATTATAATACATTATACGATCGCAGAGACGGAGATTTAAACGTGCGATCGCATGAATGACGGAGCGCAAAAAACTAACGAAACGCGACAAAAAAAATCTCTTCTCTGCCGCTTTCGAGTGTACACCGGCGTTTTTGAGACACACGGACAACAGTCACTCTCATACACACACGCGCGCGCACGTAAAACAATAAAAACAAGCAAATAAGTGGTTTTTCGTTTGGTACTCGTATTTTATATTATGAACTATAGCTGTTATAACACGACTTTGCCAGGAAAAAAATGAACAAATATAAAATACGATGCTATATCGGTGCAGCTCGGTTTTAGTGTACCTATGTCCTATACTTTAGTTAACAGGTAAATCGGGGTCAGTGTCGGTCGTTTTGTAAAGTAATTGGACCAAGATCAGCAATCTGACCGTTGCTCCGACTACTGCTCTCAAAACTTTTCTCAAAAGAATAATTTCCGAAACTTTCACAAATTTGGTCGAGTAGATTTTGAGTTTATGTGTTCAAATATAAAGACATCAGCTTTTTGTTTTATACTTGAGGAGTCTTGAATACAGAATAACAAACAATAAATCAAATATTTTTTTTTTCTATTTAAAAAAAAAATCGCATGGTAGCGCGTGGTTGGTCTTGGAAACKGTTTATAAATGCGAAATAATATTCCAAAACGAAATTCATCTGTGAGGCACTCTATAGCAGCAATACATATTAAAGACATTAAAAAAATCTATTAAAACGCCACCTGTGCGTTATGACATACAAACTGTTCTATTTTATGATATTATATATAATTATAGATATTAAATAGTTTAGATAATGATTAAGTCATTTAAATTTTAATATTTTATTATTTTTCCATTGTCTCGCGTTATTTTTTTACCCCTGAAATAAATATACGAGCTCAAAATCTACCGGAGGATCGAAATTATCAATCAAGTACCTACTCCGCGATCAGTTTTCCAATAACTATCCACGAATATGGAATATAATTTCTAGGTATTATTATAAATTGTAATGTCCGTCAGATAAGTAAATCGTTCAAATCACATTGAAAAAAATACGTCTAATTAACAAAACTCGGCTATATTATAACGACGTACAAATTTCAATTATTGAATTATAATATATAGTATAACAGTTGTAGTCATCCGTCGAACGGAGTTGAGCCGCTATTCTGCTGCAAGTGTGTAGGTACATATTTTGTGATAAGAGGCATAATATTTAAATTACTATATCACATTGTCATTYTGTACATTGCGGAAATTTACACGAAATCCAAAATGTTCTTTACAATAATATTATGAAGGAAAATGTTTGTGAAATAATTAAGATATACCTACAACCTACATTTTATAATAAATATTATTCAAGTTTTAATTTCAATAAGAACTAAGCAGTCATGATTACTTTTTAGTTTTTAGAATCAGATTTAAAATTATATTTACATAGTATTATAAAAATTGTTTAGATGTAAATTATGATTGACAATATTAATTTAACGTGTTTATATATATTTTATACTTCGTTTATTATAATCAAAGGAATATTGTTGGTCGTGATTCAGCTTTCTTATACGATCACTGTATCATCTAAAAACACAATACTGCTCGTTTTAATTTTTATTCCATTATTCCAATAATCGAAATCTGAGAACCGCTGACACGGTTTAGATCGATAGTCTACAGATAAACCTACTAAAAATATTGTACTGTACACTTACACAAAGTCCGATTTCACAAGTTCTGGAGTTCGAACGGCACTACACTCTATCCACTGTCATTTGTGGTCGACGTCAACTCCCACATGGGTCAGTATAAAAGCTTTTAATTGATTAATTATTATTCGACACTTGAATAGTTGTTTGCATCCAAGTCTTAGTCAAAGTTTTGTTCCTGTGTTTTTGTTGTTTTTTTTTTTTAGTTTGCTTTCTCGATCTCCATAAATTCAGACGTAGATGTTACGGTGATTTTTTAAGCATGTTTACCTTATTTTTATGCTTTTATAGTTCATTAAATAAAATTTAGATTTTTGGACATTTTTGAATACACTTGAAAACCATATTTTTGAATACCTACTTGCGATTTTTCACACCACTTAAAATTCTGTGACCATGGAAATTTTTGATTTTCATATAGGACTTCGCCCTATCTTTCACTTTTAATTATTCACCAGATTTTTTCATTATTGAGAATTTTAATATATCAAAATTAAAATTTGAATATTAAATGATTAGTTTTTGAGTTATTTAACATTGTGTACTAACTACTAAGGATATTATGTACATAGTAATAGGTCAAGTATATGATATATCAAGTTTACTATGGGGACTTAAATACTTTGAAAATGTTGGAATATAATCTATTTTAAATAATTTGTAAAAATCTAAGTATAATGAATATTACATCTAATATTACGTAAAGCTTATATTTTTAAAAACTTTTTCAATAATTATTATCCTTAATATAAATATTTTATCTCTCAGAAATTAATTATTAGAATTTTGATTTGAATTCATCAACATTTCGAAGAAAGCCATCCACTTTGTAACAATAAACCGGGATTCTCATTTGAAAAATAAAAGTTTTGGATCACCTCATTACTTAAGTAGTACAACAAATATCAGGAATTTTGAGAATATGGGCATTGGTCATTAGCTGCACTTGAAAATTCCAAAAATCAGTATTTGAATAAATATAAAATATATACTAACCTAACCTAACTTAAAGGTAGAAATGGAAGGGGGTTGAGAATGTTTAAATAATCAACCTATTTACTGTACTCGGCTCGGGTTAATTTACCGGGTYCAGAAATATTTAATAGGTTATTCTATATTATACTGTTTATGTTAATATTAAATGAGTAGTTATAGAACTTTTGATATTATATTATTTAATTTCAACCTAAACCATTTTATATGAATTCAATTATTTATTATATTCAATTATAGTTTCCCGAGCAAATTGGTTCGATATTTTATTGTAATTTGTAAGTAAACTGTTTTTTAAAAAAAAAAAAAACTATTATAGTTTTTAATAATATTGTCTTATTCGTAAGTAATATTTCATGACGTAAAATTTGAATGGCTATGCAGATTTCATAATATTTTTTTTTTTACTAATTGACTTCAATAATGTAATATACATAGGTACATAGATCTCAATTTCGTCTTGGAGTATTTTTTTTTCATTTTTATTTGTAATTAGTTTAAAAAGTTTACCAATTAATGTTGACGTAGGTACTCGATATTATATAATAATTGCTATTTATTAGATTTGTTTTAACATTTTTTTTATACCTAGCAATCACTACTCAATAGACATTCAAATATTTACGTGTTCGGTTTCTCAGATTTTGATGTAACACTCGTGAATTCCGTATCGTTTTTAATATAAAATAATACAACATTAAAATAAACACTGAGCTAATTACAATKCGTTTTTATTCATTATAATTTTTAAACATGCTAATACTATTATATTGATCGAGAAAGCGTAGTTTTCAAAAACCTTCTAATTTATCAAAGTATCGAACGCGCGCATTTGATGAAATGTGTGATGTATATAATCAAAACTAAATTATAAAGAAAATACCTATAAAGCCTTAAACACGTGCCTTAGGTACCCGATATTATACACTAATACACTATACAGTAAAACTTCGATGTAACGAACTTCTGTTTAATACAATTTTCTATTCAWCGAAATATTTGTAAGAATGTTACCAAATTAGAACCAAGTTTATTTAATTACATTCAACGAATTTCTCAATAGTACAATTTTTTTTTTTTTTGCTAATGAGACTTCGTTATATTATGGAAGTTTCACTGTATAGCATATTCTATTACATTTTGTACATACAATAATTGATTGTACTTATTATAAATTGTATTTAAGTCAATTTATCATTTAAATGAAACAATTATGACGACGTGATATTATGATTTCACTGTCATATTCCATCAATAATTTCTTTGAATAAAAAATACATAATATTACATACCTAGCGACATACTAATAAATGTATACTTATTGAGTTACAGGATGGGTTCGAGTGTGTTAAATAACAATTACATTCTATATTTTGTAGTTTTAAATTATAATGCGATAAACAGTTATAGGTATACTCACTTCCCTGTAATTGATACATTGTATGTTTTGTATACTTGAATTTTTTTAAATATAATCAATATTCCTGAGTTGTCAAAATATTGAAATATAAAATAAAATCGTATTATAATTCTAAGATAATATTTTGATAAAATATGATTTTCAGCGAATAATCGAAAATATTCAACTATTCAAGAGGAGGCAGCATTAGTTATACAAAAACGTGAGTATATAATACGAATTTCATATTGTATCAATAATTATTTTAGTATAGTTATTGTGCGTATATAACACAGTCATTATTGTATTGGCTTATACATTGGAACCTTGGTATTTAAAAAAGCCTCAAGAGGAAAAAAACATATCGAAAAATAACTTATAACTACCGACAGATAATTAAAAATATGTAAATGAATGATAGGGACTGAAAAAATGTCTATTTACAAAAACTTCAAGGTACCAAAATTCCACTGTAATATTGTTGTTGCCAATAGATGCCAAGAGAAAAGTGTTTCTGTATATATCTATAAATGAAGGTAATATTAGGGATAGGATGTWATCAATATTTTTTTGGTGTATCTGATAATATAACTTCTCGTTAAAGTGGTTGATTATGAAACATTTTAAAATCAATTTTATATTGTTCATAGTTCATACTTCTGTTTTACATGTTAAAATATTGTCTAAAAATTCTACTCACTAAGGAAATGTTTTAATCATAAATTCTGTTGGGTTACATTATTATTAGGTATATAATTTAAACTTCGTGTTTAGGAATAAAAAAGTTAGGCATTAAGGTTTACATTTTGTTTGATACTATTACTTAGATTTAGGCAGTATCTTTAACCTATAAGTTTTTAAGATTTTCTCAAAGTAAGTACAAACACAAAAATAATGTTCCGTAATATGGTGATGACTGATGAGGCTATAACTGTCTACTTGACACAAAGCTATGCGTATGTTAATTTTTTGAGATCTTCATATCATTATTTTTATATACCGAGCACTTATCGAGAATGATTTTTATTTGTCGATGAATCATAATCAATAACAAAGATCAGCCACGTGTTCGAACATATTATACATTTAAAATAATATAACTGATTGAATATTAATTTATTTTAATTTTCCATTTAGATTATAAGGGATATCAAGTACGAAATAAAAACAGTTCGACAAAAGTCGGTAAGTACTAAATTAATGTATAGTAATGTTGCTGTCAAAATATTATGATTATTATAATGTTGTGTTTTAACAAATAATATCATCTTCTGATGTAATATAACATTAAAAATTAACTTATTTAACTATCTACTAAAATAATAGTGACTTAAATATATAAATAATAAGCTTAAATAACTCTAMATTTATTATAATATGGCATTATAATGCTAAATAAATTTGATCAACGCATTTTTTCTTTAGACAAACTTAATGCCGTGGGACGTAAAAAACTAAAGATGATTATTAATAAATGGAAAGGMAAATCAATCTATCAAATCGTATTGTTGGATCGAGCCAATAAACTTCAAGACGTTGTATACTTTTCATTGCAGGTAATTTAGACACGCATTATTATTTTAGTTAGTATAACTAAGTTGGCCATTGTGTAATAGGTATCGTAAAAATATTTAAAATTAAACAAATGATTTAACAGAATTGCATTATTATATAAATTATAAAAGTAAAAAATGATATTTGTAAAATCTTGCCTACCTTATTTCACAGTCTCGAAATAATAAAATACAAGCGTTAATAAAATATAATATAATATGATATATAATGATTTTAATTAAGTCAGATACGGTAGTTATAATATACAATAATAATACTGATTTATACTGAACTTATATTATTCAATAAAAACTATAAAACCATTAATATTCTAAATTATTTGTAACTAACTAAAATTTGTGATATCCATACTGTGATAACACACTAGAATATCTGTCATCTATGACTTGTTTATATTTCAACATGACGTAATATGTAGAGGTAGGTACAAACCTACTAATATTTGAACAAAATTTWCGATAGTGTTTTTTAGGGCAAGTACCCTAATTTTGTTTTATTCGAGTTAAGTTCGTGAGAGTGTTTCGTTATATAATGTTCTCAACAATTTTTTCAATTTTTTCAATCAAATACGTTGRATTCTGTAAGCTGTGCTTGAATTCAAAAAAATAAGGATTTGTATAAAAATTGTTAAAAAAAAAAGTGCGTACCTGATGATTATTTAAAATCGTACTGATTAGGTAATTAGATAAAACGCATAAATATTTTTTTTTAATATGTAAAACTCCTCTAACACCCCTCTCCACTCTACCACCCTTCTACAAAAAAGTACTGGACGTAAACAAATAAAACTGCATATGTGCTATACATCTCTGCATACCCAAACCCTACCCATTTACATGGACTAACCAATAAACATAACCAAACATCTTCAAACTTCCACCCACTAATAAAGGAAAGGCGCAAGCCTGGTATAGTTAACGGCATAGCCATCCCCTCCCCCCCAAAGCAAAGCAAAGCGTCGAATTGTTATTCGTCATCAGTCTTTAATCTTTAGTATCTACACATCGACCGTATGACTTCTTCTCGACGAAGCTTCACACAATCGGATTCCAAATGCCCTCGACAACTCTGACTGATCGATGCCTATTACATATTATAATATTATGTACCTATAATACACGTTGTAATGGCTCGTCCACAGGTGCATTTGTATAACCAACACGCGATTAGTAGTTTAAACAACATGAACCACCGACCGGTTATGCTGAAAGATGTCATGAGCACGACCAGCGTAAACGAATTCTTGGGCAGCAAGAGGTGTTATTTGTACAAGATACCGTTCCAATTGAATCAGATGGAAACGGAAACCAATCAGAATAACACGATGGACGAAAAGTAATAAAAACTAATAACATAATTTACATTATAATAGTGTTATAGACGTTATAGTGCCTTATTATTGCTCGTTGTGTGTCGTCTAGAAATAACTAAACACCMACAATTTTTCCGATGTAAATGAAACTTTTTGATTAATTGGACCACTATTAACTACTATCTAGATCACTAAAATATTTTAATATAATATGTAGCTGCTCAATATGACGCAATTTTTGAATACAATTTGTATAGTCCAATCTCCAATGTTCAAAATAAATATAAAATTTTTTTAATTTCAATAACGGCCTTATTTTTTATCTTGAAACATCTTATTTAAATCAAGTAATTTACGACATATTATTTTTGCAAAGAAATAATTTTTAAAAAGACTTCTAACATTTAATTTTACTTTTAATTATATTCAAAAAATGTGTTTATTCTATTTAAACATAATATTACACTACTAATCACTATTGGATCATAATATTTTCGTCTCTTATAATTAGTTAGTTTAATTATAAAATTTCAATAAATCTAATTATTGTACATTTATTAATTTATTTTTGATTCAAAACTCGTTATTGGCTGTGAAAATATTATTTACAGTATTATAATAATTTAAATTATATACATTATAATAAATAATAATAATATATCTATCCAATTTATATCACTTTACCTACCATATTTTGTGCATTTTGCAGTTGTTTCGGTATACTGAACAATGTGGATGATTGCAATTGGGACTCTCCTCTGAATCGTTTTCCTGAAGCTCGTACTACATTTAAAATTTTGAAACACTCGTTCGCTGTTCGAGGTAACATAATTCAGTCATCGCTTATAGCAGATTATGTCATATGCTCATGTATATATCGTGATAGAAAACAACTATCTCATCGATTTGAATTGTTTATATATGACGTATATACAATATATAGTGGAACCTTGATAACTCTAATCGATTGAGGTCAAATAATTAATTCGAGGTAGGTATCGAAAATTCGACTTGTAGAGGTTCCATTGTATACTTACATATTATATATTATATATATATTGTACATATTATGCTGTATATTATTTTTACAAATATTTTATGTTCACTAAAATATGTAAATTATAGTGAGTACTTGAATATTTTAGGGATAACCCTATWGGTAGTTTTCAGTGGCATAGTTATGATTTTGTTCTGGAGGTGGATATTGCTGTATGTGGTACTATGATAGGTATAATTTATATATATAAATATATATATATTTGAGATAAGGATGAGGTGGTAAGGTTAGGTGGATTAATGGATTATATCCGTAATTAAAATGTATAACATTATATAGGGAAATTTATTATCAAATAATCTTATATCAAATATAAGTCAATCCATCAAACATTAAAAAAAAGGCTCTGAGTTGGATCTTTTTCTAGGTTTTCTATGACTAGTTTTACTACGATTGAGGTACAATGTACCTGGTACATGTTCAGTTTTTAACTGTATTTAATAATTATAATGTTGTAAAATAATACCACTATTTTGGTTTCACTATCTGAAATATGTGATCTAATAAAATTATTATTAAGTATTTTTTACTGATTAATAATAACTACGTGTTGATACATAATATTAAAAACATTTTAATTAGATTTAAACTAAGACGCATCCAAACTTTAATATTCTGTGAATAATATTAGTATGTATGCATTTCAATAAAATATATTTCTATGTAATAGGCCATAAAAATAAAAAATAAAACTAATTTTCTATATTAATAGTATTACTAATAATGGCATTTTTAAAATGTACGAAATGTACGAAATGTAAAATATTAATTTCAATCCTTTTATGTGCAAATAATTATATTCTTAGCCGAGGATAAATTCATGTTAGTAAAAAATGTTTTCTTATAAAATTATTTTTTTACTAACCTATTTTTAATAGACCAAAGCGTACAAGTAGATATTGCTCAAGCAGTACGATTTTCCAATACCAACAACAGTCAACAGCAATATTCTGTAAGCACAAATTTAGTATTCCGTGTTCAACGAAAATGTAGACATGAATTTAAAATTGAGTTTTTGTACTAGGAGAACAATCGTATGTATCAAAAACAGGATGAAAAACCAATTAGAAAATCTGTGAGTGACAACAGATATAGTATGAAAGAGAAAAATGATTCCAAAGTGATCACTACAGCGAATAAATCAAACATAAAAAAGTTCGTTGTTTAATAATTGTATGTATAATCTAGTTTTAGTATAATTATTTTATGAATTAGCCATTAGGTACATATGGCTTACTAATAATGCATATTATTCGATGTAATATTAATACTATATATCTTCTAGAGAGTGTATAACTTTTATTTTTCAACCTTCATTAAAGTTAAATGTTTAAAAAACAAAAGTCGATTATTATAAAAGACTAACTGAATTCTAGCTGGGTTTCTACGTTTGCTTCGATTCAGTATAAAGTTTTAAAGAATGAGTATAACAAAATGATAATATAAGTAGGTACCTAATGCAAATTTATATAATATTGATCACAATATTTTACAATTATATTTGTTTTAGTTAGTCATATCTTAGTGATTTTCCAAAAACCACTTTTTCAAATATAAACAGTACCGCWAAGATATATGTATAGAAATCATTTTTTTTTTATTGACAGTAAATTAAACATTTTATTTTTATAAGTTTTTACAATAATTAAAATTTTAAAAATATGGTATACTGCGCGTATAAAATTTAATATATTAGGTACTATACATATGTACATAGTAAATATTCAATAACGCTGTATAAAATTATGTATTTATGCACAATTTGAAATTCATATAGGTAACTATATAAGGGGTTAAGCTTAAAATACATTTTATGTTTATCTTTACCCTAGAGACATTCAACAAATTTAAATTTGAAACCAGTAAATCTATTATGGAGTTCTATAATAATATAAAGTAAAACTACAATTATTTAAATGTTTAGACCATCAGATAAATTAAATCCTGTTCTTGAACTTCAAACAAAAGGTAAACAATACCAGTCGGACTACGTAGATGAAGACGATCCTCCTTACAATTTTCAGGTTAGCTACTGTCATTAAAATGTTTTCCATTGCACATTTAATGCAACAATAATAATTCAAAATATATATAATATTACAGTGGCGTAGCGTTGGGTACTTTTAGGCTGTGTCTTAATTCTCGAAATTGTAAAAAAATTTTAAAACTATTGCTACGGTCTATGAATGTCACTGCAAATACAAATTTCTATAGCCTCAAACTTAAGTCTAACACACAACCTCTACATCGGCATGTTAAGCTTGTGGGAAACATTGTTTTTAAGCCAACTCTGTGTAAATACATTATCAGACTCCTCCTCCTCCTCCTCCCAAAGATAAATCACAGCTACTGCACTGTAATATTATATGTATCGAATAATCATAGCGTTGTCCTCAAATTAGACTATTATACTAACCATTTAATTTTTCGTGTTACAATAGTACCCTTATATAATATAATGTGATTTGTATTAGGCAATTTTGAAAAAGACCAACTACAAACGTTCGTCTATGGACGGTCGGACCATAGAGTTCTCGTCGGAAAAGTCCAATGGTGAAAGAATGACGGACAAGGGGCACGCCGGCGGACGACCGGTGACACGGATAGGAGAAGATTACGGTTATAGGTCGGACGCAGACAACGTGAAACGGTCAAAGGATTACAAGAACGAGCTGAACCATCAACTGTCTAGAGCAACGAGGACTGAGATCATACCAGGAGTAATGCTAGAGGGCTCTTCTTGCGACCTTTAATCCAGTTGCTCACCATTGACGTCGCAAAAATTAGTTATTATATCATATTATTATTATTATTATTGTTATTATTATTTATACAGTATTATAAACGGGATAGGTACGGATACATTTGTACGTTCGCATTCTAGACACTAAATATAGTTATAACTTTATAAGTATAGATATAGTATTAGTTGTGAAATCGTGTTAACGTCATTTTTGTGACCTTCCGACTACATTAAATTTGTCCTTATATTCACAAGTCACAGCTGATTGTGTAACTCACCTTACCGATTACGTTTTAATCAAAGTAACAGCCGAACATTTTCAAATATAAACACTTAAAACTTTATCATATATATTAACTTATACCAGGCACTTATATTGATTGTTGGCCACATTAGTTTTTATGAATATACTAACAAATGTTTATGTGACACTATTACATCACTTGTAATAACGATATTCTAAAATCTTGTATTATTATTTCTTTTTTCGAACTATTGTATGAATAACAATAATACAAAACATTTTAAAACATTAATTCAATATTATTGCACGATACGAAGTTAAGCTCTAGATTAGTACAATAACAATTTCACTAAGAAATTACTAAGTAACAGCTAACTTAACCAAATTCTTATCACATTAATATATTATGGATAAAAACTATCATTACTTAGTCATTATGAATTTTCTTAAAATGTCTAAGAAAGTTTATAAGGAAAATCTAGTTTTCATTATTTAATTTGTTGCGATTATTTTTGCTCCAATATATTATAATTATGTAATGTAAATATTGCATTTTGCATGATATCATCACATATTTACGAATTTGATTATTTGATTTAACTAATAATAACTTAACTTCATTGTTTTATATCAATTAGCTCATAAATCATGAGAAAAAAAGCGGGTACCTAAGTCGTGGATGTCGCTCTGCTGTACAGTAGGTTACAAAAGTGGATTACTGTAATGGATGGAATTAAATTTGAATCCGCAATGATATTGTATCATTGTATACGAAAAACGATTCTGAACGGAAACGGATTATTTGTATAGGATATATTATTATAGATTATTAAACATTTTCAAATCTTAGATTTAAAAAGAAAATTTTTTATGAATTTTCTAGCTTAAAATAATTTGCAAATTTTCGTGATTTTTACGAATGTTTTCAAAATTGAAATTTGAATGCTTATAAAAAAAAATTGTGACTATGTATTTCTTTTATTTTTCAACTGCTATTGTAAAAATATTTTAGGAACTTTGTATTAAATTTGCCCAAAACCAATAGACATATTTAATTTTTCTTTGATTCAACTGGATTTGTTGATTTTATTTCTGACGAATTTCCCCAGGTACCATATAATTATTATTTCTGTAAATATTTTTCGAATAGTTTGAACATTTTTGTAAAATCGATCCAAGATGTTTTCATTCTAAAAAAAATGTTATTATAATAATAAGAAAACAACACCTAATCCTAATCGCTCTCTACATTGAAATGGCATATCATATGGTTTGGAAAAAAAAAGTACTACACACTCTCCAGAAAGGGAGTATTTCAGGAAACATGCTATCTTTCCTATACAACTTCCTCTTGACCGAAAAATTCAGGTAAAACTGGGAAACGTATTATCCGACCATCTAGATATCCGTATTAGCATTATCTGTGTGGCAGGCGAGCCTTCTTTACAAATCCATAGAAACAAAGAAATTTTAAAATATGTGGGCGAAAAAAAAACCTAGACCACCATAAATTGTGAAATTAAGAAAAATAGAAAATAAAATATTATTAGGTATGTAAAAAACTTTTTGTGTTGAGTATTTAGGTACATTTTCAATAAAATTCCATACAAAGTGTAATGAAAATGTTTTCACTGACATGATGGAACTCTCATCTTCTTAGTGTCTTTTAAAATTTAGAGGTATAAACGATTGCCTAGTACCTACGCCTTACCTACTGTTATCTGCTTATACAATATGATACATCGTTAATATTAGGCCGTGGGTGTGATGCATAGCCTCTTCTTAATACGCAACCATAGGGTCAGTGATATAAATAATTGATATCATATTTTTACTAAAGTTAAGACTTAACCATATTTTATTTTATTTTATCAAGCACAATCAATATAATAATAATATTATCGTCGATGAACGAACGATATCGTGTGCGGCTCTTCTCGGTCATTGCGGTTACCATGTTGTTTGGGCATGTGACACAATAATAATAATATAATGTACCTACTTACGTTTTGCACTACAGTAAGTTATGTAATAATATATTGTGTAGTACGCCGCCTATATACATAATATATCGTGTGGCATTGTGTCCCTTTTCTCTAMGGCCGTCATCGCCGTGTGATGTCCTTATTACGTATAGTACCGATGCACAATAATAACATCATAATACATGGTATATAGGTAATGCATTATTKGTCTTCTACATATATATATGGGCGGACATGGGATACTCACAAGTACCTATACTACGTCCCATACCCTCAGATTCCGACAAAGCGGCGACGTTTATTCGGGCCCGAAATGTACAATCCATTATTTGTTCGAGTCCGTAACATTATATATATATATATATATATATAATATCTATGTATATGTATCATTGGWTTGGTATACCACAGGATTATACCATAATATATGTCTCTACATCCGTTATACCGGCCAAATTAAAAAGGCCGAAACCCGTTGTTCGGGAGAAATTCACACACTGTACGCGTGCATATACACATATAATAATACTAATACATACAATATTGCGGACACGCTCATATATATTATACAATTTTATTGCGTTATAATAATAATAATAATACATTATACGTACGCTACAAGTGCAGTTGTGTGCCGCACGCACGAATATATGATAATAATATTACCTATATATAATATGTGATACAGAAATGCGTATAATGCGTATATATACACCCACATAATATCGCTTGGGGATACCTCACCACCCGCGGTCATTGTGGAAATCGCTGCATTTTTTTTTTTTTTATATAAATGAAAAGAACCCGAAATCCGATCGGTAATTCCACAAAGGTCAAAACATTATAACATAATATCTTCTCCGTGTGTATACCCATTCATACATATATTATTGTTGTTGACTAAAATCGGACCGCATATAGGTCATGTAACGTAATAATATTATTATAAGACTGTAGAAATGCGTATAATCTTTCACAGAATTTCTTTATTTCTCTTTTTCACTATTTTTCTATACA